GTCCAGTTTGAGGGTTCTACTATGTTTGGTCCAGGTTTGAGGGTTCTCCTTTTTTTTTTTGTCCAGGTTTGAGAGTTATTCTTTGTTTGGTCCAGGTTTGTTTCCATTTTTGTGATAATATTTGTCTGATGATTCTGTGCTTTTATGATGACATGATGAACAACGTAAACACGTGCGTGCGGTAGGAGTTGTATTATTTCTAAACGGAGCTCGGCCAGTAGAAGGCCATCGTACTCGTCATCCCTGACAGGTTTTTAATGACTAGCTCACCAGTTGGGCCATTTCACAGAAAAACAGACAGATCCGCCACAGAATTATGACACGTAAAATCAACCTTAAATGTGATTCACTTAGGGAGAAAAAAAAAACCTACATTTTCAGTAACGAGATACGTAATAACCAGGCGAGTAGAGACAAGTCACGTGATTGCCCGTTTCACTCTTCTCGGAGACTGTGTTCTCTGAGTTGATGTGTGTTGAATAGACAGGATGGTCATGTACCTTTATACGCAGGCGCACATTGTGTCTAGAGTGATAATAAAAATGAAAATTCTACCATTTCTTTTATCAAGAAACATTTTATTTCCAGTACGATAACAAGCAAATGATGAAATTGATCTAACTATCTATATATTTATCACTTGTGTTTTTGGATTGTTAGTAAACAGTAACGTTTAAAAGTAAACAGGAGAAGAAAAAGCGAATAAAATATGATCAGTTTTTTTTCCCCATTATTACACTTTTATCCATATATGAGGTTGTTTGAAAAAGTTTAGGTTCACAGAAAGTAGATACAGCCAGTATTGTGTACGTACAGCCATGTTGAAAAATACTATATGCCTACAGCGCAATCATGTACAGAATTTCATGTTGAGAATTATTTGTATCTGCACGTTGAAAGCCTCAAGTACACACAGCCATGTCGAATATTTGATGTGTATATATTCTTATATGCAGCCATACTGAAAACTGTGCTCATTCGGTCATACAAAGAACGTACAGCGATGTCGAGTGTCTTGTTGTATCATATTAACATGCTGATGGTTCAACATGTACGTATAGTATTGATATAAAATACGACTTAATCCTTCATTCCTTAACCTAATGATATAGACCTTCATTCCTTAACCCAAAGATATAGACCTTCATTCCTTAATCTAAAAGGTTAAGGAATGAAGGTCTATATCAAAGATATAGACCTTCATTCCTTAACTTAAAGATATAGTCCTTCATTCCTTAACCTAAAGACCTTCATTCCTTAATCTAAAGATATAAACCTTCATTCCTTAACCTAAAGATATAGACCTTCATTCCTTAATCTAAAGATATAGACCTTCATTCCTTAACCTAAAGATATAGACCTTCATTCCTTAACCTAAAGATATAGTCCTTCATTCCTTAATTTCGATTAAGGAATGAAAGTCTATATCTTTAGATTAAGGAATGAAGGACTATATCTTTTAGGTTAAGGAATGAAGGTCTATATCTTTAGATTAAGGAATGAATAACTATATCTTTAGGTTAAGGAATGAAGGACTTTAGGTTAAGGAATGAAGGTCTATATCTTAGGGATATAGACTTTCATTCCTTAATCTAATGATATAGACCTTCATTCCTTAACCTAAAGATAGAGTCCTTCATTCCTTAATCTAAAGATATAGACTTTCATTCCTTAACCTAATGATATAGACCTTCATTCCTTAACCTAAAGTCCTTCATTCCTTAACCTAAAGATATAGTCCTTCATTCCTTAACCTAAAGATATAGACCTTCATTCCTTAACCTAAAGATATAGTCCTTCATTTCTTAACCTAAAGATATTGACCTTCAAGCGACATTGAATAACAATACCAATAATAATTTAAATAGCGTAGTTACTTGGCTGTCCTATTTCATCAACACCTTATTTGCTGTGTGTCGCTGCCGATGTGTACTTTCTCACAACCCCAACACTCGTCAGGTTAACACTACATAATGTCGTTTTTCGCTGTAGCATTTGATACATCCGGTATAAACAACACTTCAGTCATGACGCTGAGCTCTGATATTGAGTCACAAACGGCATCAGAGGTTTAATTTGAAGGTGAGAGAGATCGCACACTATACTTGGTTTGGATTGGATTTTACTGTAGCACCGACGGTGTCAGTTTCTTGTAATCCTTTTCAGGGGGGGTCCTAGTATTAAGAAGGAATTGTTAAACACACTACTCACTATGTTGGAAACACGCATAGTATCAATAAATTAGAATTAATACACCATTTTCAGTTTTGTTGTGTTATAGAAGCACTTACAAACGAATCGCGTCTGATCAGCCCACGAGTTCCAGATCTTAAGACATAAACTACAGAGGATCGTATGCGCCACTTGCTCTTAAATTTATTATGTCCAACAAGAAAAATCTAATCTAATATAATATTTATAAAAACATTACGTATTATATCTCACGCAGCTTGGTGGTGTTGACTAGCTCTCTTTCCTCTTTTAAAAGTCCCCCGATGGAACAGAGGGAAGTTGGTTTCAACAAACAAACAAATTACATTCCTAGAGATCAATAATGTGATCGAAAATAAAATCCTAGTTTTTTTTTTTTTATTTCGATAGTATACTCTGTAGTTGTGTAATCTACAGGATCACTGTCACCAGTACTTTGTTCATTGTTACATATGAAGATTTTTGAATAATGAGTCACTGTTACAGACCAACAATCTGTGGTTCTGTTTCCATGAAGCCCGACCACACATACACATGTTTGTACTTAGAAGTCGGTGTCAGCGACTCGATACAAGGTCAACAAACACCTGACACGGTACAGTTATACTTTGCACGAACATATTTACGGCAGCAACCTATCATATAATACCAGTTAGTAGTGTATCAAGAACGTAGAACCAGAGTATCTAGTCAAGTTCCTTCGTTGAGCTGTATTACTATACAGGATCTGTGACGTAGAAACCACGTGCTTGTTGCCTAATAATCTTGTCTATTATCATAGAAAACACGAGCGGTCACACGTGAAGTGATTTATTTTTCACAGGGCCTACAGTAATATATTATTAGTTCATATATATGTGTGTTTGTGGCTGTGTGTGTGTGTGTATAATATGTTTGTCCCGTTTCTTTCCGTCTACCATCCCAACCACAATCGATAAGTAGCTCAGAAATTATAGGCCTAGCGATACTGTCGCGCCACCTGTAGTAAAGCTTTTTAACTTTGTCCTTTTTTTTTAAATTTTGATAATATTTTTTGGTTTCGGATATTTGCGCAAAGCTTCACAAGGACCATTAGCCCTCCCTAATATGGAATTGATAGAATTGGACGGAGTCAATAGTCAACATGGTCCATCACCACGTCTTGAACTGTTATATCAAATAGTAAGACTTGACCACCGCTCTTATAGCACTCCAAAGTGCTAGTCCCAATTTTCCGGAATAGTTGATCCACTAAACCTAGGTGAAGCCTGGTTCTTGTTTCACGTGGGTTTATTAGTTCGTTGTTTCACCTCGAGGTTTATAATGAGAGATCACTAATAAAAAACGAGCCAGAAACGTTCGTATCATGCGCTTAATGGTCAGTAGGAGTTCACGGTTTGCGTTTTCTAGAAACGAACTGCACACTTTGTTGATTAGCTACCTTCCTTCCCTCTAGTCTAAAGTTCTATCCAAATTACAAACTTCAATAAACTTGATCTGTTGATTAGCTACCTTCCTTCCCTCTAGTCTAAAGTTCTATCCAAATTACAAACTTCAATAAACTTGATCTGTTGATTAGATGGCTTCCTTCCCTCTAGTCTAAAGTTCTAACTAAATTACAAACTTCAATAAACTTGATCTGTTGATTAGCTAGCTTCCTTTCCTCTAGTCTAAAGTTCTAACCAAATTACAAACTTCAATAAACTTGATCTGTTGATTAGATGGCTTCCTTCCCTCTAGTCTGAAGTTCTAACCAAATTACAAACTTCAATAAACGTGATCTTGTTGATTAGATGGCTTCCTTCCCTCTAGTCTAAAGTTCTAACTAAATTACAAACTTCAATAAACGTGATCTGTTGATTAGCTAGCTTCCTTCCCTCTAGTCTAAAGTTCTAACCAAATTACAAACTTCAATAAACTGATCTGTTGATTAGATGGCTTCCTTCCCTCTAGTCTAAAGTTCTAACCAAATTACAAACTTCAATAAACTTGATCTGTTGATTAGATGGCTTCCTTCCCTCTAGTCTAAAGTTCTATCCAAATTACAAACTTCAATAAACTTGATCTGTTGATTAGCTAGCTTCCTTCCCTCTAGTCTAAAGTTCTAACTAAATTACAAACTTCAATAAACGTGATCTGTTGATTAGCTAGCTTCCTTCCCTCTAGTCTAAAGTTCTAACCAAATTACAAACTTCAATAAACGTGTTCTGTTGATTAGCTAGCTTCCTTCCCTCTAGTCTAAAGTTCTAACCA